GGCTGTTCCCTCAACTGTGCCACAAGAATACATCTCAGTGCCGTTGGTTCCGCAAGGAGCAAGTGGGAAGCGGAGAGTGAGGTGGACCTTACCTGCGAGCAGTGATATACCTGTCCTGGGAATGCGGGTTCTCCTCTCGGCCGTCTGTCACGTACTGCCATTGTACCGCAATGTATATTATTTATGAGCTGGGTTGATCTTCGTATAATTTTCTTAGTCCTGTATGGAAATTTTCTAATAAGTATACAAATAAAGGTAGATGTATATGAATATTTGTATATGTAATTTTTCCATCTCTATGCATATAAATATGTATATACATGCAGTATATATATATATATTATATATATATATATATATATATATATATATATATATATATATATATACTGTATTATGTGTGCATTTGTGTGTGTTTACATAATACAAATATGCGTTTTTATATACATATATGTGTGTATATATATGTATGTGTGTATGTATACATGTTTGTATGAATATAAATAGATACATAGATAGGTTGGTATTTAGACGCTATACATGCACCGAATCCCTTATGACTTATTCAGAATACCATCGATTAATTTGTCATCACTCTCAGGAATACTATCATTTTAAAATTACATTATTTGAGTATTTTTTGACAATGGTAAGAAAAAGCTGTATTGTGCCGGACATTCTTAGTCTCCCTACACGTCACCAAAATGAGAAAGATTTCAAAAGACTAGGTTACAAATTATATTTCAGAAAAAAAAATCATTTATAGAAACTCTGGAAGAAGGAAGGAAGAAATGAAATGGGAAGAGGAATAAGAGAAAGGATGGTCATTCCGAAAACACTTCACTTTCATGGTCTCCGAAGTCCGCCCTTTGCCCCTCCTCTCCCGCCCTCTCCTCCTCTATATGTTTATATATATATATATATATATATATATATATATATATATATATATATATATATATATATATATATATGTATATATGTACCTATGTATATATTTATACATATATCTGTATATATACATACATACATATACATGCACACACAGAAAAGCACACATTCACACACACACACACACACACACACACACACACACACACACACACACACACATATATATATATATATATATATATATATATATATATATATATATATATACACGCCTGTTTTGTTGTGTGTGTATATATATATATATATATATATATATATATATGTGTGTGTGTGTGTGTGTGTGTGTGTGTGTGTGTGTGTGTGTGTGTGTGTGTGTGTGTATGTGCGTGTGTACATGCGTGTTTCATTCTCATCAATATAGGAAAAATATATCAGAAAATTCTTTTAATCATATAGATTAAAGATACTCTGTAGGATGCATCATACTGCAATAAACTGCTTATACTGAGCGTTACAAGATGACGTAACAAAGAAATGATCATAAAGACAGATATGAAAGACTAAAGAATTGAAACTTTAAGTGCAGTAATAGTGATTGCTCTCCTATTCTCTATATATATGACCTGAAATGACCTTTTGTGAGAGCCACCGATTCACACCTTGTTGCGAACTCGTTTGTCGGTCACTTGAATGTTCTAATTATGATTGACTTCATGGGCGTCATTAGCATTTGTTGGCAGTGCTTGTTTTGACAAATTTCAACAAGCGAAATGTCAAAACAGAAGAGAGGAGGCAACAGGAGTAGAGAAAACATGTTTTTAAAATTACTTCTTGTTCTACCTTTGATACGTAAAACAGACCTTCAGTTTTATGCGGAATTGAAAGAGGAGTGTGTGAAGGTCGAGGGATCTTGACCTACCGGTTGCTATTACTGACAATAGCGGAGGATACGCTAATTTTCAAGAGAGCTTCAGGTTCTATGAGTCTTCTCCTATGAGCCCCAGTACACCCATTTCACTCATAATATCAACTTATATACTTCACAAGCGCTGGGCACACTCAGCGTCTCATTCTGGACTTATAGAGGTCCTAGACTTAAATAACCATATATTCTGTAACGCAATGACAAGGCTTTTAAAATAAGCCATTCACCATCTTTCCTTTAGCGGAAATTGGTTCCGGGTCATAAATCAAGTAGCAATGAACATGGAACAGGTGATGATGAGGTCATGATCGAGTTCAACCTCTTTGTTACGCCCCTGAACCCCCAACCCCACCGCTGGGCACTTTTCCCGCCTCTGCCCCGCCTGCACAATGGAAAGCGGCTGTCCCGAAATCGGCGACTTGCCGTTTCGACTTGAATGAATACCCTAGGTTGTAATATATATATATATTATATATATATATATATATATATATATATATATATATATATATATATATATATATATATATATATATAAATGTTTGCATTTTGATCACAGGCGGTCCTCATAGGTGCTGTAAACACAAGTTCACGACAAGGTGTAAATTGGTACATCGTAGATAATGCACACTCTTTTCATTACGGAAACAAATGGTGATAATTATCCTGCCATATCTAATAAGATATTATGACATGTGCACACAATGTGTACACGCGTGCGCACACACACACATAGATGGAAATGTATATGTATGTAATGTATGTACACAGGCACACACGCACACACAAACATATATATAGCTCATGATTAGGCGTTAAACGGGAAAACCGTTTTTCGCTTAAAATGCAACGTTATAAAAAAACAAAAGTTATTTGGTTTCCTGAACTTTTCTTATGTGACCTGAATTGACCTGTCATGAGAGCCACCGATTCACACCTTGTCGCGAACTCGTTCTTGTCGGTCACTTAAAAAGTGTACCTTTTATTTGACCTGATTCTCGTGTTGGCTTTGTAGGCGGCGTTGAAGGCTTCTGATATCAAATCTAAGAAGATATATAATAACTGCATTAGTTTCTTAGAGTTTCTTAACACCCTCACTTCTCGATGAAAATGAATGACCCAGTCTCCTACACACTGACACGAAATAACCTCTAGTTGCAGTGGTGCAGCGAGGGCCGAGTGCGAGTGCGTAACACCCAGTTAGGGAGGATGCAGTTAGTATTCTCTATTAAGGTATGGCAATGGGTTTCTCATTTGTTTATTCTTTCGTCCTTATGATTGATTTTGAAGATGTTTTGGGTGTCTTCATCAAGAAAGTTTCAGGAGCTAAGAAGTTTTGAAACAAGAACAGAAGGAAGCCTCAGTGTCATTCGGAAATTGGTTCCGGGTCATAAATCACGGAACGATGAGAAAGGGGCAGGTGATGATCAGGTCATAATAGAGTTCAACCCTTTTGCTGTTCACCGCACCCCGCCCTTGGCTCCTCCCATCCTGACCTTTTCTCCCGCCCTTGGCTCCTCCCATCCTGACCTTTTCTCCCGCCCTTGGCTCCTCCCATCCTGACCTTTTCTCCCGCCCTTGGCTCCTCCCATCCTGACCTTTTCTCCCGCCCTTGGCTCCTCCTCCCTGATTTCTTCCCCCGCCCTTGGTTCTTCATCTCGCTCCTACCCCTTCTCTCCACCTCCTGCCGTATGGTCCACCTGCAGAAAGAAAACCAGTCGTTCTGAAAATACGGACTACTGAAGTAAACGTCTTTTAAGAATTCAACTCTCTATTTTTTGTATGAAAAGTATGTTTCTAAGATAATGCATGCATATTTTCACAGACAAAATACCTTTAATTAAAAATATATACACAGTATATATCTAACACAGCCATCGACAACGAGTGGCATATTGTATACAGCTTCTATGGTCATGCAATGGCCAAATTTATGACTGATAGTGATTATAATGATAATGCCAATAAAAATGATGTTAATGCTAATTAAAATTGATGATGGTAATGACAATTATGATAATAATAATGATTATGCCAATGATAATGAAATAATGATATTAATAATGATAATGAAATCATGATAATGAAATAATGATAATGAAATAATGATATTGATAATGATAATGAAGTCATGATAATGAAATAATAATACTACTAATGATAATGAAATAATGATACTTATAATGATAATGATAATAATGATACTTACAATGATAATAATAATAATGATGGTGGTGATGATTATGATAATGATAATAATAATGATAACGGTGATAATTATGATAATGGTAATAATAATCATGATGATGGTGGTGATAATTATGATAATGGTAATAATAATTATGATGATGGTAATAATAATTATGATAATGATAATAATGATGATTATAATAATGATAATAGTAATAACAACGATAATAGTAATAACAACGATAATAGTAATAATGATGATAAAAATAATAATATTGATAAAGATAATATTGATAAATATAATAATACCGATAAAGATAATAATATTGATAGCAATGATAATGATAAAAGTTATTATAATCATAATGATAAAAAATGATGATCATATGCATAATGATAATGAAAAAGACAGCTGAAATCCTACGTTAACATTGACCTTAAATATGATATTCTGCCGCAAAATTCGACTGACCTCCTTTAAATGACATGTTCGCGACAAGGTGTGAAATATTTGTGCAAACATCCAGGTCAGCATAGGTCAGTTCAGACAAATTGTGATTGAACGTGAATGTTAATTTCCATTTGGTTGTTTATATTGATAAATGTATAAATTGGTATGTATATAGGGATATATATATGTGTATATATATAATGTATTTGTATACATACATATATATATATTATATATATATATATATATATATATATATATATATATATATATATATATATATTATATATATATATATATAAGTGTATATATGTGTGTGTGTGTGTGTGTATATATATATATATATATATATTATACATATGTATATAAGTATATATATTTATATATATATATATATATATATATATATTATATATATATATATATATATATATATATATATATATTATATATATATATATATATATGTGTGTGTGTGTGTGTGTGTGTGTGTGTGTGTGTGTGTGTGTGTGTGTGTATATATATATATATATAATATAT